TTTCATTTATTTGTTTTATGTTGTTTCGTTTGTAGATTTTGTAGTGTATCTAGACATTAAAAGACATTAAGATAAGAATAGGGCTAAATGGCAAGAAATAGCAATGTTCTTTCATTAGCATCCTACTTTCATTTCTTTCTATTATATGCTCGTATTTTCAAATTTTCTTATTTAGGAATTGTAGTTTGAAAATTCTATAAAGTTACAACATTGTACTTTCAATCTCTTTTTATTCGGACATTATATAGAGAAATTTTTTATAATTATAAAAGTGGCAATCGAGTAGATTTTAGTAATGTACAATACCGTAACATAAAGAAAATGGAAGTAGAATGCTTATAATAAAGGCGTAAATGCAAAAAGAAGCAACATACTTTCATTTATTTGTAAAAGTTGTTTTGTATTTGGATGACATTTGCTATAATTGAGTATATTTTATAAAATATATTGTTGTAGTAAGCATAAAATTAAAGTGGAATGCTCATAATAAACAAATAAGTGTATCTGCCCTGTTATTTCTTACATTTATCACTAAGATTTATAACGACTTTATATTAACTATAGATTAATGAAATGACATATGATATGTAAAATTTCATTATTTATTGCTTTTTTTTTTGTCACGATTACTTTCTGCTATCTTGTTCCATTGTATATTAACTATATTTTGTAGCATTAAAGGCCCATTCCGTTGTATATTAACTACGCATTGTATTTGGAGTGAATTGGATTGTATAATGAAATTGAAAGTTTGAAACTATTGAAACTGAAGCTTATGTCAATAAAATAAAATAAAATCAAAACGTGATGAGACATGACTTGCTCTTGACCTTTCGTCGTGTACAAAAGATATAAATAATTCATCATAACCTTTTGAACCTGCCTAAAAGATATAGTCAATAATATAATAATAATTGTATATTATGACGTGGCATAATATATAACATATATAGATGCATGAATGAGATGTTGGTAACATTAAATAATGATGTGTCATTTTATGTTATGAAGTTGACAAAAAAATATCTGTGAATCGAATTAAATTATTGGAAAGAATCATATTAAAGGAATAATATACCTAGTCAAGAGCCATTGTTACCAATGTTGACAGAAAGAAGCTAATAAGTAAGGGCTCCACATGTTTGACAAATGAGGAGGTGATCAGAATACATAAGTAAGATCCAGGTTCATGTTTAGGCATCATATTCCATGCTTTATAAAACAAATCAAGCCAGTCTAGCTTCTCGATGAAGTGTAAGACAACAACATGGTCGGATTTAAGAAGAGGGTTTGGGGGCACATGCCCCCAATGGTTTTTACATTGAGTGCCCCCAACATTTCAGAATTTTGGATTCGCCACTGCGGATACCAATAAAAAAATATCGATGAAGTTTGGATTTTGAGGTAACCTGGTTCATGGATTTGGATCACACTGGATGATGGATCCTTCTTTAATAGAAAAATCAATACTAATGGAGTTTATGCTTTTATTTGGATATCCTTATAAACAAATGTTGCAATCAGTGGCGGAGTCAGAGGTATCCCCAAAAAAAATCGTGTAATATACAATAAGAAAAAAAATAAAAACCGCAATTTCATTAGACATAAAGTTCAACTTCCACAACAAAGTTACGTTTTAAGGTTCGCCTCTTCTCTCTTTCATTTTACAAAAACGAGTAATTACATTTTCAGTCTTAATATTCTCTAGTGCTTCATTTTCTACACTACAAATCAAATTATCATTCATAAAATCGTCACATATTCTATTATGCAAATCGGTCTTCAAGAACTTAATTGCAGAAAAACATCATTCAATAGTTGCGGTTGGGAAAGGCAAAACCAAAGTTACTTTTAATAATCTATAAACCAAAGGAAAAGAGGTGTTTTACAGTTTCCACCAACAAAATATATCAACTATAACTTGATTTCAAGTTTCAACAACAAATAATCACTAATTATTAATCCTAAATCCCTAATTTAACAAACGTAATTGGTAATTTCTAATTTTTCAACATAATGACAAAAAATTAGAATTTGAATTAACCTAACAATAGATAATAACATTGAGTATTTTTTTTTTAATAATTACTTGTCTCATTGTGGACTGATGAGTTTGATTACTCACCACCGAAGGAGGTCGCTAGAATAAGTCATCGACAGGAGGCAGGAGGCACCTGGTCGACTTGCGCAAGGGAGAGGACGATCACAAAAGGCAGAAACGAGTCAACACAAAAGAAGTCGACGATCAAAAGGTAGAAATTGGAGACGTTTGGTTTTTTATATTAAACTAATTGGGCTTATAACTCTTTGTTTCATTAAACTAGTTAACTCTTTGTTTCATTAAACTAGTTGGCGTGGGCTTAAAAATTTTGGACCATTTGGCCTGGTTTGTATTTTGGATAATTTAGAAATAGCATCAATTTTTTTAGAATAGCCCAATTTTTTTTTCAAAGTATAACCGCACCATAAAACGAATTTTTCCGAAAAAAATTTACACTATTAAATTTTTTTTGAAGGACATACAGGAATACCCTGAGATCCATACTAAATCCGCCTATGGTTGCAATATCTTCGACCAAAGCATAATATTATTCTCATAACTTAGTGTTCCATGGGGGATTTAGTTACTTGGTTTCTAAGTTAGCTAGTTTTGTAGTAGTGTTTCCTTTTACTTAGGTGTTTGAAAGTTATTGTGTTCTTTTACTATTCTTGTTAGGAGACTTATAAATATAGCTTTTAGTTCGTTGTTTTTATTGATTATAAAGATCCCCTCTCACCATCGAAATTGTAAGAACCTTATAAGCCCTTCCATTTGGCATATATTTTTATTATTATTTGAAATATGCATTAATTATGTTATGTTTGATATCAAGTTAAACCAACTTCCTTTCTTTAAGTGTCGCTTTTTATATTTTGTCTTATGATTAGGGAACTAATTTGACTTTTTTGACTGTTTGATTATACTAGTTCAAATCGAAATTAGATGGCTTCCAAAAGAATGAACCCCTTACCATCCCCTACTATGAACCCCTTAACAAATATTTGATTGGTTTCGTGTTTTGGATTTAACTCTGTATAAACTTAAAAATCATATATCTATGTTTCTAAGCTTGTGAGAAGTATTGGGTGTTGCTGGAAATTTTAAATAGATCTTAATGCAAAATTTCTGATTTTAATTAAGAGCTTGTTTAATTAGACAATAAAAAGTTAGGGTAAAGTGAGAGCTTGTTTTGGTTAAGTTAACCTCGCGCTATAAATCCTTAGCTCCATCGCACAACAGACACGACTGCAAGTATGATATTAGCCTCCGTCGACAAAATATGGAGAGAAAGGTACTCTCCACATTAGTGATCCAACGTATGATGACGATGGACTCCCTCATCCCCATGAATCGTGGAGCCCCACAAGCATCAAACTCCTTGATAGTGACCTCACAAGTCCATCGCCGACTAGCTTCCAACTTGGCTCGTAGAATCCTAAAGCATTCGTTATCACTGAAATCAACTCATCCTTGATTGTGCTGATTATACTAGGAAAATCCTCTATTATAAACCTTGAAACCTCTATAGTGATGATATCATAGACATCCCTCCCACTGAATCAAAATGCCTATACTAACATCACTGAAATGCCTCACGAATGCACAGTCCTACACAATCCAGAATATGATAGACATTCTAATAAGTGTCTCTACCTTAAAACCACAACGAAAAAAGGAGTATGTAATAAGGATAAATTAGAAATTCTAAGACTATCAGATTCTAATTATGTACAACCCTTACGTCATTCGATTTACAGTTCAATAATATCAACCAAATACTCCACAACACATACTACAATCAACACATATATGGCATACGAGACATCTATACAAATTAGACAATTCTAGCATGCAATCCCTGAACAGATCCTTAGCCTAAAGTCTAGCATGCATATCAATCCATAGCACAAATACATAACTATATGGTATATTAAGAATCACTTACTTTATGAGCTTTGTCTGACTATACGCATCACATCCATTTCTTTATAAAATCCTTCTTAAAAAACATTTTCTTGTAAATGATTTTACAAATCCTCAATTTGAGTTCAAACACACTACAGGACATGCTCGAATCCTTCAAATTAAGGCTCTGATACCAACTTGCAACGTCCCCAAATTTCAAAGGAGATTTTTTCAATTTAAAGAAAGTTAACCAATTTAAACCTTTTTCTTAAAAGCAAGAAGTGACATTCATTTGTTCAAAACTCATAATATCAACAAAGTTGATTTACAAAACAACGGAAACGAAATCTTCAATTTGAGAGTACAGTCCTACCGAGCTCCTCTTCCCCCGTCCTTGTCCTCGTTGTAGGATTTTCGGATATCAAATTCAATTAAATGAGAGGGGGATAACAACTTCCAGATAGTTGGATGAGGCATAATTTCATCCCTCCATCATCTCCTGTTTCTCCGTTCTGTTGTGATTGCGACTTCATCTCTACCATTTCTGAAACCCTAGACGACATGTATATCTCTAAACCCAAGTGCAGAGGTGGCGATGACGACATCCATTTTGCCCTCTTCGTATCACTTCAATACACACATACAAGGTGTCTATGTTTTATGTTTTTTTTTTGCTCCAATTGGTGTTTGTACAAGAGGGTAGTAATGGTGAATGAGGTGGTTGTCGATACTGTTTCTGAGAGAAAAAGAAGTGGTGGTCGACGATGGTACTGATATTGTTTGTCAAAAAATTTAAGGGAAAATGGTTTAGAGTTTATTTTATTTTATTTTGTATATTATAAATTGTTGTAATAAAAGTGAAATAAATAAAAAAAGAGTAGACATAATAGTCGTTTCATGTATCCAGTAATGGGTGAAACTAGCAAATAGTTTTTGAAAGTAAAGACTAAATATATATATTTTGACATCTATACCTCATATGAATTTGTGTAATTTACTCTATTCTTAATTTATATATTAAAGGACTTATTTGCAAAATATTGACACGTTTTGATGGATGAGAAAATGATATTGATCCCTTCGATTGAAAAAAACAATTGCGTGTGATTTGTGGACTAGTAAACATATATCATTTCATTCAATCCTCGGTCGACCCGACTCGACTCGACCCGACCCTGCCCAAACCAAGCACCAAAGATGATGTTAGAGAATGGAGAGGAGAGTGCTGTAGCTGTGAATTGTGATGTACGTATAAAGGTGTATACAAACATACACAACCACCGTTTAACCGTTAATTGAATATATACAAAGACAAAGACAAAGACACCTCTTCCGATCTTCATTTCTTGAAGCAAACGACGACGTTAACTCCTACCCCACCCTACCAATACATTTCCTAGTTGTTGTTGCTTCAGATCTCTACCTTCTTCTCCACTAGTAGTTAGGGTTTCATTGTCTGATCTCGCTTTTCTATCTATATTATTAGTATTTCTCCAACTTATATACATATACTTGAGGAGATTCGTACTTGTACATCTGGATAGATCGAATCATCGATGCGAAAATTGAACTACGCATCGTGATTTGATTTGGGTTTCTTCTGCTCTGTTGTTAAGGCATTGGCGATTCCCGAATTGAAATCCGCTTGTTTCAATCAAAATGGTGGCTTCTGGACCTCTTACACCTGGCCAGGTAAAGATTTAACCACTGCATCTTAGGATAAAAAGCTTATTTTGGTCAGTTAAATGACTTAAATCTCTGATCTGTTCTTAGTTCGTTTTGTAAATCCTGATTTTGGGATCCGTTTGGATGTGCATTTGTTTGTTCTTTTGATCTAAATACCATTGATCGACTTTGATTAGATTGTAAAAGGAAGTTGATGAACTTCAAATTCATATAGTGTGGGCAAATGTGTGTGTTTTTCACTCTGAAGTATTTGTCAGTTAATGATCTCTGGTTGTTGATATGTATCATTGAAATTGACTACTGTTTTTGGGTTGGCTTACTTCTGCTTTAGTATTTTTGATATTTTGAACTACAATTTGTATTGGCATTATCTTGGAGAGAGCAATCATGTCAGTGTTCTGATAACTTTTGAAGTGGCTTATTGTTGCTCCATACTGAAGATAGATAATGTATTAGCTAACAGTAGCTTTATCCCTTCAGCTCTATGATTAGTGATTATTTATTGCAATACAATATTAGTCGAATCTTCACCATTTACCTCTTGTCCAATATCCCACCTAAGGCAAATCCATTAATCACCATTTTTATCTCATCAATGCAAATTCATCACACATTATATGGATCTAAGTATGTCATCTCATTCTGTCAATCTGTCAAGTCTGAGACATAGGATAGATCATATCTCTAGTTCTGGATCAGTTATTTAACTTCATGCATATGTTCAATAATCCTCTTATTCTACAAACATATCCTTCTACATCTACAGGTTAATGTACTTGCTAAATGTTTCTAAACAATAATATCCCTGAATCCCTGATGAATAATTACTAATCTTGCACATACTACTAAATATCTTTATAATGTGTACTAGTTTCTTAGATCAATCTATACACAACATCTTAAGAGCTTACTTCTTTGCATACTAAAGTTTTGGCCAATGAGCTTGAGTTCTGTAAAATCTGTATCCCTTTAGAATACCAATCTGTGTGAGAAACAACAAAAAGAAAAGATTAGTTAAATGAATACTTTCTTCGATGTTTTTTAATGTGAACTTTATACCATTTACTATATAAGCTGATGGAAACAGAACAACAGAAATAACAGACACATAAGTTTAAAGGGGTCATACTTACTTTTTATTCAAAAGTAGTGTGAGACAATATAATAAGGTCTTTATTAAATGATTATTATCATCTTGAAGGTGTCCTTTTTGCTTGGAATCATCCCTATATTTGTCTCTTGGATTTATTCTGAGTGGCTTGAATACAAGAAGTCTTCTTCCCCATCTAAACTGTAAGTTTCTTCATTCACTCTCACCTTCATTTATCTCTTATATCCAGAAAAAAGAAACAACACCTTACAAAACTCATGTATTTTGAAAACAGACATTCAGACAATAGTTTGGTTGAATTGGAAACTGTGGTAACTAAGGAAGATGATCGAGTTGTTTTGCTTGAAGGAGGCCTCACAAAGTCTGCATCAATGAGACAACCTGTTGCTTCCATTAAAGCAAACTTAATTAGGTTAGTTAACAATTAAGTAATAAAGATATCTTTTTTCATTGAAAATTTTAATTACATTCTCCATATCTTGGTTTCTAGATTTGTTACAATGGATGAGTCCTTTTTACTTGAAAATCGAGCAACCCTAAGGGCAATGTAAGTCATGTTACTTACTTTCTTGATGTTAATTATATTCTGATTTGTCTTTTTCTTTAATCTGAACAATTACATTTGATTTTACTATGTATATAATATAGGTCAGAATTTGGGGGAATTATATTCTATTTCTACTTATGTGATCGAACCCATTTGATTCCAGAATCTACAAAGGTAAGGAATCCTTCAAAATCCATTCTTCCTATTTCATTAAAAGACCAAAATATCCTCCCAGTTTTTTTAACTATTATTATTATTTTTCTTGTGCAGAGCTACAATCGGGATCTTTTCCTGTTCCTATACAGTCTTCTTATCATTGTTTCAGCAATGACTTCTCTTAAAAAACATGGTGACAAGTCAGCATTTTCAGGAAAATCAATACTTTATCTCAATAGACATCAAACAGAGGAATGGAAAGGATGGATGCAGGCAAGAATTTTGTTCAAAGTTTCTCATTTCCAAACCATTTGACTGCTTAAAAAAGGGTTAAATCTTATAAAAGACCTTATATATTGTGTTTTTTTCCGGATTAAATCTCAACTTTATTCTTTTTCATGAAACAGACCTTGTATTTTTTCATTTTTTATTTCTGGTCTGGCCCTTTTAGTCATTTTTTTTTTCCAAAAAAACTTGTAAAACATGAGGGTTTTATCGAGGAAACCTAAAAAAGTTGAGGGTTTATTTGGAAACTGTTAGAAGGTTAATGTTTTTTTTCGGAAAAAAAGACAAAGTTGAGGGATTTTTTTCGGAAAAAGTGAAAAACTAGAAGGTCTTTTTCAGGAAAAGGGTTAATCTCATAAAAGACCTTATATTTTGTGCTTTTTCCGGATTAAACCTCAACTTTATTCTTTTCCTGAAAAAGACCTTGCATTTTTTCATTTTTTCCAATTTCACCCTTCTAGTCATTTTCTTTCCAAAAAAAACTTGTAAAACGTGAGGGTTTTTTTGAGAAAATCTAAAAAAATTGAGGGTTTATTTGGAAACAGTTAGAAGGTTAAGGGTTTTTTTCGGAAAAAAAGACAGTTGAGGGATTTTTTTCGGTAAAAATAAAAAATAAGTCGTTTTCAGGGGAAAAAAAATAAAAACGAGGTTTTATCCGGAAAAAAACACAAAATATAAAGTTTTTAATGAGCTTAACCCTATTAAAAAAATCAGTTATTTTGAAATTGATTATATCTTATTATTATTTTTTGTTTAATGTGACATAGGTTCTGTTTCTAATGTATCATTACTTTGCTGCCACTGAGATATACAATGCCATTCGTGTTTTTATTGCTGCATATGTCTGGATGACTGGTTTTGGAAACTTCTCCTATTACTACATCCGAAAAGATTTCAGTGTTGCAAGATTCTCTCAGGTTATTCTTTTTTTTTATCTTTAATCTAACCAATCTTTTTAGATGACAAGGGCATTTTTGTCTTTTTCACATACATGTCCCACCTTTTTTGGTTGGACAAAAGATTGCAATTATTTTAGGGTTAATCTAAAAAAGAACTTATATTTTGTGTTTTTTTCCGGATTAAACCTCAAATTTATTGTTTGCTTGAAAAAGACGTTTAAATTTTTTTTTTTCATTTTTTCCGATCTTGTCCTTTTAGTAATTTTTTTCCAAAAAAGGGTTAATCTCATGAAAAATCTTATATTTTGTTTTTTTTTTTTTTGGATTAAACCTTAATTTTATTTTTTGCCTGAAAAAAACCTTGTATTTTTTCTGAAAAAACCCTTAATTTTTTTCCCCAGATAAAACCCCTCACCTTCCAAATTGTTTCCGAAAAGCCCTCAAATTTTTTTAGTTTTTCTCGAAAAAACCCTCACATTTTACAAGTTTTTCAGAAGAACATGATTAAAAGGGCCAGGTCAAAAAAATTAAAAAGTGTAAGGTCTTTTTCTGGAAAAAAAAATAAAATTGAGGTTTTATGCCGAAAAAACACAAATAATTGTAAAATGTGAGGTTTTTTTCGAGAAAAAACTAAAAAAGTTGAGGGTTTATTTGGAAGCATTTTTAGAAGGCTGAGAGTTTTTTTCAGAAAAAAAAAAACTCAAAGTTGAGGGCTTTTTCATAAAAAATGAAAAAATACGTCTTTTTCAGAAAAAATAAAAATAAATTTGAGGTTTAATCCGGAAAAACAACAAAGTATCAGGTCTTTTATGAGATTAATTAACTCTTTGGATTCAGCTAAATAGTATTTTTTTTTTTCTTTTTTTCTTTTTGTTGTTGCAGATGATGTGGAGGCTGAATTTTTTTGTGGCATTTTGTTGTATAGCTCTTAACAATGATTATATGCTGTATTATATTTGCCCTATGCACACTCTTTTCACTCTTATGGTTTATGGAGCACTTGCTATTGGAAGCAAATATAATGAGATAAGATCAGTGATGATTACGAAGCTCATTGCATGCTTTCTTGTGGTCATTTTGGTGTGGGAAGTTCCTGGAGTATTTGACTTAGTGTGGGGCCCTTTTGCATTCATATTAGGTATGTTTTTATCTTTTTTCTTCCCTTTAATGGGTGCTAATTTGCTATATATATATATATATATATATATATATATATATATATATATATATATATATATATATATATATATATATATATTTTTTATAGTAATGGGCTAAGCATTTAATTTGGAATTGGACAACTATAAATGGTTGTTTCTTTTTGACTTAATCTGGATAGAATGACTTAATTGGTTAAGCCAAACAAACTTGGCTTAATGAATATTGTAGCATTTGTTTGTTTTTTTGTTTTTTGGAATGGAAGGGTAAAATGGTCATTTCATTTAATTCAATGACTTAATCAAAAAAAAGTTGGCTTAATGAATATTGTGGCATTTGTGTTTTTTTTGGAATGGAAGGGTAAAATGGTCATTTCATTTAATTCAATGACTTAATCAAAAAAAAGTTGGCTTAATGAATATTGTGGCATTTGTGTTTTTTTTGGAATGGAAGGGTAAAATGGTCATTTCATTTAATTCAATGACTTAATTGGTTAAGACAAAAACACTTGGCTTAATGATTAGGGTTGATCTCAAAAAAGACCTTATATTTTGTGTTTTTTTTTCCGGATTAAACCTGACCTTATATTTTTTCATTTTTTCTGAAAAAGCCCTCAACTTTGTTGTTTTTTTTTTCCGAAAAAACCCTCAACCTTTTTTTTGTAGAAAAAAACCCTCACATTTAAAAAAATGGCTAAAGGGGCCAGATCAGAAAAAATGAAAAAAATACAAGAGACAAAAAATAAAGTTGAGGTTTAATCCGGAAAAAAAAACACAAAATATAAGGTCTTTTTTGAGATTAAACCTAACATTTTCTTTTTTTTAAGAATGTAAGGGTAAAATGGTCATTTAATTTAATTTTTGAGACAATATTTATACATCATCTAATCCATATAACATCATTATCGATTCAGCCACTTTACCAATATATGACTTGTGAGAAAAAAAGAAACAGCTCTTTAATCTTGTAAGCTATATATGAGTGTTTCTTTTAATCTTTTAAAGTATTATTTATTTATTTATTTATTTTTCTATTACAGGTTACAGTGATCCTGCAAAACCAGATCTCCCTAGATTACATGAGTGGCATTTTAGATCTGGACTAGATCGATACATCTGGATTATTGGAATGATTTATGCATATCTTCACCCTAATGTATTAAAAACTTTAACACCTACATAATATTTTTATAAAAATTATATTATATATTCTATAATATTATTATTATCTCAGGTTGAAAAGTGGATGGAGAAACTTGAGGAGTCAGATAGCAAGAGGAGACGCACTGTTAAGGCATCCATTGTTTCTGTAGCTGTTTTGGTTAGTGTCTATCTGATCAGGGGCATTTATGTCTTTTGCACATATGAGAGAATTTATGGGCTTATGATAATTTTTTTTCTTCAGGGGGGTTATATGTGGTATGAGTATATATACAAGTTGGATAAGGTTACATACAACAAATATCATCCCTACACATCATGGATACCTATAACGTGTGTAATTAATTTTATTTTTTTGTTTTACCTTTTTTTTTTATTATTATCTGGTAGAAAATATTTTGGTAGTATTTGAGAAAAAAGCTGTTTTTTGTTTTTTTGTGATGGAATCGAATGGATCATTCTTGAAGGAATGTGATTCATTTCATCATAATATTGAATGAAAAATTGCTATATATATATATATATATATATATATATATATATATATATATATATATATATATATATTATATAACCCATTATTATTTATCTAATATTTCAATGACAAAAATGTTTGGGTTAATTTTTTTTTTTTTTTTTTTTTTTCGGGATGAAACCTCAAATTTATGTTTTGTTTGAAAAAAAACCTTGTATTTTTTCATTTTTTTAAAAAAAAGCCCTTGACTTTGTATTTTTTTTTTGCCGAAAAAAAACCTTCAACCTTCTAAATGCTTCCAAATAAACCCTCAACTTTTTTTAGTTTTTCTCGAGAAAAAAACCTTACGTTTTACAAAATTTTTTTTGGCAAAAAATGATTAAAAGGGCCAAATCGGGAAAAATGAAAAAAAATACAAGGTTTTTTTCAAACTAAACATAAATGTGAGGTTTAATCCGGAAAAAATACAAAATACAAGGGTTTTTTTTTTTTTTTTTTTTTTAGATTAACCAAAATGTTTTTTATTTTATAAGTTTCATGATTTTAATTAAATTGTAATTTACTCTCTAAATATAACAGAAAAATGTTTTCTTTTATAATAATCTTATTTGGGTTTTAATGAGGTTTTGTAATGCTAAGTTTTATTATTTAATAAAAAAAATTCATTACTCACAATTAAATATTCCACAAACTTCCTCTTTTCAGTGTCTACATTTGCTTGAGGAATTTCACTCAACATCTTCGTAATTACTCATTAACTCTATTCGCGTAAGCTCTCTTTAACTTCCACTTTCCAAGAACTATATTTACTAAAATACCCTTCCACATATTCCTTTCTATATCAAGTCATTAACTATACAATCATTCTTTTTTCCATGTTCTTATAGGTGGCTTGGTAAGATCACTTTAGAGACATACATTTCTCAATTCCACATCTGGCTAAGGTGACTACAACCCACAATTCTTTTCAAAATATGAATTTAATTTTTTCCAAAAAAAAAAAAATAATTTCTTTTTTCTTTCTTGGAAAAAAATTTACAATGGTGTGTAGATCGGATATCCCCAATGGACAACCAAAGTGGCTTCTCTCATTCATCCCAAATTATCCAATGCTCAATTTCATGCTTACAACCGCAGTCTATGTCTTGGTGAGCAACTTATCCTTTCACCTTTCTAATTAATGAAACCAGACTCATGACAAGGGCATTTACGTCTTTTCCATATACAAGAAACTTAGGGCAAGTCCCTGTCCAATACATATTGGACAAACACAGTATAAAACTGTATGTCATTTAATGTTGTCCAGTACATGCCAAACATAGTACAAGCCTGTCATGTCATGTCATTTCATGTTCTGTACTTCTGTTCTGACATGTCCTGTAAACAATAGGGTGTAAATAAATTAATTTTTATGATTTATTTATTTATTTATTTATTTTGGTTGTTGGTGTAGATATCTTGTAGGCTGTTTGAATTGACAAACACGTTGAAATCAGTTTTTATACCAACGAAAAACGACAGACAATTGCTTTACAATTTTCTTGCTGGAACAACAATTTTTGCGGGTTTATACTTCATTGCATTCATTGTTGTTCAGATTCCTCAATAACTCTGGTAAGCCCTTCAAAACTATATCTGCATGTGTTAGGGTTTAGGGTTTAGGGTTTACGGTTTCTGTATTAAATACTTTGGGGAACTTCGTATGTGTATATTTTATTTTTAGGCTATGTTTGGCGTACTAGCTGAAAAACTAGCTGTTAGCTGCTATCAGCTTATAAGCTAGCCGATAAAAAATGACGTTTGGTAAAACCGTAAAAGCTAGCTGAAAGATATAAAATGACATAAAAGGCCATTTAGAAAAATATGATGGTTATAACTAATTAATGGTATATTCGGAAAATTTGAAAAATGATCCTGAAGAACTAGTCAAGTAACTTTTTAAAAAGCTAGCTTTTAAGCTAGTTTTTGCTTTGCCAAACATGATAACTTAATAAAGCTAGAAAATGTTATTACATAAAGGGTTGATATAAAAAAAGACCTTATATTTTGTGTTTTTTCCGGATTAAACCTCAAATTTATTTTTTGCCTAAAAAAACATGTATTTTTTCATTTTTTCTGGCCCTTTTAGTCATTTTTTTCCGAAAAGAATTGAAAAATGTGGGTTTTTTCTAGAAAAACTAAAAAAGTTGAGGGTTTTTTTGAAAGCATTTAGAAGGTTGAGGGTTTTTTTCTTGAAAAAAAAAACACAAAGTTGAGGGTTTTTCTGGAAAAAATAAAAAAATACTAAGGTTTTTTTCAGGCAAAAAATAAATTTGAGGTTTAATCCGGAATAAACATAAAATATAAAATATTTTTTAAGATTAACCCTTACAATAAAAACTAAATTATTTTTAAATAAATCAATTTATGACGTTTTACGCGTTTGAGCTATTTCCATTGCAACTAAATTTTTAGTTTTTCCGATTTTAATTCACAGGCACGATGGGGGGTCCATATTTCTTGTTTACAAACACGAAACAAATATACATGGAGCACAAAAATCCATCTATACATCTAAACTTGATACGTGTCTCCAACAATTTTGGAGAAAATCATGACCGTTGATTTCCAATAGTCTGTTATTTGGATGCTTTCGCCCTTATGAAACGTTAGCAAGCAATTAAGATGTCATAGTAAAAAAGTAAATTCTTTTGTAATTTTTTCAATTTGTGTACTTTATTAGTTTGTTGAAAATGAAGCCAAAAAAAAAACATGTAAGTATTTGTAATTTAGATCTGTGGGAAAGTATTTGGAAACAAAAAAGGAAGCCATTGGCTCATGTTTTGTATTGCATTATTAAAGGTTCAATATCATGCTTTTAGCGTTTTTTCCTAAATTAGTAATTTTCTCTTTATATTTGTTTATACAAAAGGTGCAAAATAGTACAACGGGTATGGGAGTCTATTTGGTAATTTAATGAGAATTGCTTAAGGGTTTCAAGTTGCATGGATTTTATATGTTTTTTTTATAATGAAAGAACTAAAATTTGGGACTATTGCCAAAAGCTACTACTTGTTTTGTCACTTCCTTGTGTAGGTTATCAAGAATTCAATGAGGAAGGACAATAGGTTGCATTTTTTAAATGGTGATGGGATTAAGTAAAAGAAGCTACAACATTGTACCATTTACTATATAGCGATCATAGGTGAGGTTGAATTGAATGTCAATGCTAGTCATGTGGTTCGAGGCATTGCAACGGTAACTTAGTCTAAGGCAAAATACATCAAATTTAACAATGACATCACAAAACATTAGAATATTCCGTTAAAGCATTTTATCCGGTAGTCAATCCTTTTTATCGAATGATTTTTATATTAAAGATTTCGTAACTAGCTGATGATTCTTTGTTTTACATGACAAATTAGAACCATTACCCAGTGGATTTTAGCTTTATAGAAGAGTTTGTGTTCTCTTTGACATATTTATTTGAAGACTTTATACAATTGTTTTGGGGAGAGCGGTGTCTAAAATCATCAAAAATTTTATTTTTATTTTTGTTTATCATTTAAACATTTAGGTGAGAACTATTCGATATTGAAATGTTTGACAAATGATTTATTAATTTTGACCTAGTAGTTTTAGGGTTTTTCAGATTTTAAAAAATAACTTAGTTTGAGCCTCCTTATAATTATTAAAAAATAGCTTAGTTTGACCTAGTAGATCTGAGCCTCCTTTTTACTCTATATTTACATTTTTGCCATAGATAGAGAAAATGAGAGTTCATCTTTTCTATGTAATACTTCTCCAATGTAATCAATTATTATGATTATATGATTGTAGAAATATTTGATGAATTCCTTATTTATTTGATATTGATTCATCTACTACTCTTGATTTCCGCATCGGCATCTAATATCCGGTGAACTCCCATACAAGAGATAATTCCACTGCATGCTTTCTTCTTTTTTGACCGTTGGAAATGAAGAAATTTAGATTTTTTTATTTTCTTTTTCTCCACTGTAAATAAACAATATCCCTTTCATTCTATATACCACAACACAAACACCTAAACACCAAAATCCTCTATATATTTTATATATCAAATTCAACTTGTCATATTCACCTTTCACTTCATCGGATATGTTGGCTTTGTAGGAATCGATGTTTATCTAGAACGTTATGCGTACAACACTCACTTTTCAACAAGAAAACCAAGCTGAAAGTTCGCGTTCAAAAACCAGAAATAAACCCATTACAGAGAAATTGTGCGGCTAGATACAAAAATCTTATAAAAAACTACTTTGCTGATGATGTCATCTATGCTATAAAATTTAGAGGTCGGTTCCAGGTGAGGAAATAAATATTCCTACACATAGTTTATGATGTAATTATTGATTTCCATTTTCTAACTGAAATGGGATGCGAGAGGCACACAAGATTTCTCTCTAATTTAAAAATATATATTGGTAATTCGTCAACTAGCATTCACTGGACTCATGAGTTGAGTATTTGACGATATTAGAGCTAACTACACAAGAATGTCTTTACAAGTTTGCTAAAGTTGGGATTATCCTTGACTACGACCAATATTTTCGGAAACCTATAATTAACGGCGTCCACCAACCGTATACGAAACATGAAGACAAACATGGGATCCCTATAATGCTTGGTAGTATTAATTGTAAAAATTAGGGATAAGTAATGTGCTCTAATTCGTGACGCGGTTCGTTTCATACAAGGTGATCAGAAACAACCGATGATAATTTTAGAAGCAGTGGTGTCACTTAATCTTTGAATATGAAATGAATTTTTTGGCGCTTCGAGTGCCAATAATGACATTAATGTTCTAAACCAATCTTTGATATTTAACGACATCTACCTTGGAAAATCTGTGATGTGACGTTTCAAGTGAATGGAACATCATACAAGTGTGGGTAGTACCTTGCTGATGAGATATACCCATCGTTAAATATATTTGTGAAATTATTTGTAACAACTGGCTATTTCGGGTCAATAAAAGTCAAGGCAAGTTAATAAAAGTCAAAGCATGTCAAATAAAAGTCAATTAGATAATTCATAAAAACATAAAGTATAATTAATACCTTACTTTTGAGGTTTTTGGTTTTGGGAATCAAATCCCCATCCCTATGCTAACCGAAATCAAGTTTGACCGAGAACCACTTGGCCGAAATCACAAGACTGAAGTCTCCACCTTGGACCAACAACTACCTAGACCGAAGATCATGAGTTCTTGATTCCACTTGGACCGAAATCACTTATGATTTCGGTCATAGAAGGTGTTCTCGGTTGGACTATTGGACTGAAATCAAAGATGATAGGTCGAAATCCTTGATTTTAAGCGGTGACACACCTTATAATTAGATAAATTACACATTTCAATGCAAACATCCCATCTACTTTTACCCCATATACATATATTGGGTCGAGAACTTTATGCATAAGTCTCAATTCCAATTTCAATTCTTCCCACTTTTCTGTAACACCGTAAAAATTTGAACAATTTTTCACTTTTGAAAAACCATGAAATATAGTTTGCATTCATAAATAAAAACATTGTATCAACATTGTATCTGTACAGAACCCCAAGATCAAAATATTTAAACTCCAGTGTGCCTGTGTACGAGTCATGCCGGCGCCTTCCCGCGATCATCGCTAGTACCTGAAACACATAACACATAACACTGTAAGCATAAATGCTTAGTGAGTTCCCCAAAATACCACATATATCACATACGCCTTTCCAAGCCATAGGACCTTCCGATCCAAGTGTCTCAGTGGATTTCCATCCCAGACTCGGTTGACATTCTAGTCCATATCATCTTGACCTTCCGGCCCACATCATGCTCATATCACATATAACTTACATCGTATATACATCATATACATAAGACCCTTCGGTCACATACAATTACCCCATCGGGTAAGGCATAGTGAGAAGACTCACCTCAGACGTCTCGTAAATCTCTAACTTGGTAGACGTATTGCCTAGCCTCCGCCTATTCATACAAAGTAAATAACCTCATAAACATAACACTCGAGGCTAAACTCGACCATCTATTATCATCCTTAGAAGGGTAAAAGACTATTTTACCCCCCTCTTGACTCAAGGACCCCATTGTTGACCAAACCCTAATAGTAAAAAAAAGTCAACAGTCAACTTTGACCCAACTCGCCGAGTGCACTCCGGTAACTCGGCGAGTACACACATGTCCACTAACTCTCTGTCCCGCTTGGTACGTCGAGTCCTATCCTATGCTCGACGAGTCACACTTGGCATGAATCGCGGGGCTACCCCGACTCAACTCGCCGAGTCTCAAGAACAGCTCGACGAGTACCGCCTTGAACTCCAGTCTTTTAACCCCCTTCTGACTCACTGAGTTATCCCTAACTCGGCAAGTCTATTCACTGAGTGATTTGCGTGGACCTTAACCCTACTCGCCGAGTCCCAAGAACAACTCGGCGAGTTCATGCCATGCACAAACTCTATGATCTCCTGTGGTCAGATTTGTGCCCCTAATCCCTGGATCTGGCCTTCCCAAGCATAAATTTCACGTAAAGTCTGAATCTTGATGCTTATAACTCAACCAATAAGCATCAAATGATGATTTTGTCCCAAATACCTTAACCCAAGGTCATGACCTCCATTGTTCTCCATAAGGCTTGAAGAATAAGGCTCTCTGGACCTCTATGAGTCCAGGTACAAAGCCTCATCTCCAGAAGGGACTATTTGGACCTCAAATCAACTTAGTCAAGGGTACAAGAAACCCTAAAACCACATATCCTTCCCAAAACAGAAGAAGAGTCGAAATAATACCTCAAATGAATGATCTTAGCTTTTAGTCCTTAGAATAGCAACCTCCTTTGCTTTCCCTTGGCTAGAACCTCCTTCTTCTTACTAAATGACACCACAAAGATCAACAATGGTCACTCCTTGCTTCTCAAACGATCCGAGACTCTCTCTGGGGGTAGTAGCCATAATGGACGGCCATAAGGGCCTTTAAATAGGTCCCAAGCCCTGGAAATTAGGTCTTCACTAAACAGCGTGGACTCGCCGAGTCCGGTCTTGAAATAGAATGAACATCCACATCCTTACTCGACGAGTCTTGGCGCCAACTCGCTGAGTTCCTCCACAAACTCCAAAAATTAATGAATAATAATATACCTGGGAATCCGGATGTTACATTTTCTCTCAAAACTCATATTGCATCTTCCAATATTCAAACCACATTCATGAACACCTTCAAATCTTCAATATATTTACCCAGATCATCATAAGAACAATTCCCAGGAAACATTCTTCAAAATAATTCTTAGGAATTATCGGTACGTTCCTTAAATTATCTAGTTTTCTTATAACATGTTCTTGATAATTTAACTAATTTCCACACAATATTGTGTGTTAAATACTATTAGGATTACGACCACTTTCAAGTATTCTAACTTGAAGATTATCACTTTCGATTCATTATTCAACTAAGAGCACATTCGAGATGAGTTCATACCCTTAGTTTTTCGATGAAATGAATTTACATATTTTTACTACCGTTTGTGCAAAAATACTAAAATACACGAAATAGATTTATTTCCAAACTCGTGAGCATATACAGTTTTACAGAAATTTCAAATCTTTGAAGTTTGCGTACAAATAACATTACGGTTTTCTTACAAATTATATATATATATATATATATATATATATATATATATATATATATATATATATATGTATATATAAAGAAACATACGATTGGATTTCAATAATTAAACTGTATTTAAAAATATTTTTGTAACGACCCAAAAATCACAATTAAAAATTTCCTTTAAAACATTACTAAAACCATAACATAATTCATATCATAAATTCAGAGTATCAATTCAAAACATGTTCTCATTATCAGACTAAACATCCCAGGATGACTAACTATGATGTGAGCCATGAGATCACCCCGAGCTCTTCCCTCCGCCATCGGAAGTACTTGAAACCAAAACTGCAAACTGTAAGCACAAAGCTTAGTGAGTTCCCCAACCTA